AAATATGCTAAGCCTTGTCCACAGAGAGATTTTTCAGTGTGATCAGGATACAGAGTGGTACATCATATATCATTATACAAATGGTAGGATATGTGTGTTAAAAAATTAATAACTTAAAAAATAAAATTTTCCTCCACTTGTATAAAAACTCGTGGCGTGTTCCAATTACAGAGAAAAATTTCTTCTGTCCACGGGTGTTGAGGTCCTCAGGCTAAGGCCTCACGTTGCGTCAGTGGGCTACGTCTTTTGTCCTATGCATGTTCGTGTCATTGAATCGAAGTAGTGAGACTAAGTATCTAAACTTTTTGGTATTATAAATTGAATCACCAAAGGATACAAGATTCGTCAGCTCATATTTTAGTTATACAGCCAGACAGTATTAGTTAGGAGAAAAAAAATTGTATTAGTTAGGAGTAAACAAAATCTGCCTTGATTAGTGGAGATTAGTCTGTTACATAATAGCTTAGTTGTCTTACATTAAGCATTGAAATGTGAATTAATAAAACCAATAATTCAATTTTCATTGAAGATCGTTTAATCATCCAAATGTATCAAATCAACGTCATGAACATGTTATTTGATACTCACACCATCAATTTTTTCGTACATTTGAATGACTAAACGATTTTCCATTTGAATGATTTTTTGTAAGAATGATCTTTAAATGAAGATTGAGAAGTTGAATAGGTTCTAATTATGAAATGGAGTGTACCAATCTCAATGTCAAAAGAAAAAATGCTGAGTACCTATAAATATACACATTATGGGCATATTGGTATTTTACACGATAGGAACAAAAGAAACAAATATGCATATATTCAACTATGGCATATGATTAGTATGCAAATGCAACAAGCAAATGATATTGTACCATATGAATATGTGATATTTATTCACAATAAGAAAAGTGGAAAAAAATGTCTACCTCTTTGAATATATAGTACCCACAAGGAGTTACAAATTAAAAAAACACAAAATATAAAAACTAAACATAGAAGAGAGTTAGGAAGGAAACGTTGGGCGTTGAACATGGATGAGTGAATAGCCAAGAAACAAATGTATTTCATAATTTTGGTAAGAATTCGTTGCTTAAATTTAGGAAGGGATGAGATCTCCACAAAGGTAACAGAATAATAGAAAATTTGTTCGAAGTTAAATTGTTGACGTAGACAAAAGTCAAAGGACTTTGATCAAAACTTAAAAATCAATAAAGTTTCAACCAATGTTCATTAGTTGCTAGTACCGCATTTGAATTTTTTAATTACGAAATTTGTACGATGAACATACGTTATTCGAAAAAAGTGAAATATGTACATTCCTCGTGAGAGAACACAAGTATTATAGTGTTAAGTAATCCTACAAAAATCCACATGGTGATGAGCATATATAAGTTATTGAATACCAAACTTAACTTGAGCAGCTTGTATAATCTCATATTACTACTTAACCATTAAACGTGGTCTGAGTTGTTGGCTTGACATTGACAGTGACAAATTGAGAAGGCAGACAGAGTGTCGTTTGTTTGTTTGATAATTGATCAATGTCTTTTCAATGAAATTGAAAAGAAAGTGGATTACAATACGCACCGTCACCTCTATTCACGGACAACCCGGTAACATGAATGCCGGTGTCTCAAAATCTTCGTGTCTTTTCAACTGAAATCACGTTGAGGACTACTGTTTATTAATCATTAAATCATCTTTACTCATTTTAAAATCACTTCTACTCGTTTAGAAGTATTTTGAAATAATTATAAAGCGCTTTTTGTGAAAATATTTTTAAAATAAATTCTTAATAAAAACACAAGTATATCATTAAAAAAAAAAAAAGGGAAAAAACAATTTCAAGTGCTTTTAAAATTAAAAAAAAAAATTTCAAAAACATTTTAGTTATTTTAAAACTACTTCCAAACCAGCTCTTAAGCTCCCACCAAGTTACAAACAAGTTTTGACTTTAAACAATACATGCACGAAAATTACACTTGGAACTACTTTTGGGATTGAGCTTTGTGATCACAACTTGCAAGCACTCTTCCTGTTAATTTTTCATTAGTCAAACATTTTATAGCGATATAATATGAAAAATATTTGTTGGATCGAGCTTTACCTCGACTTTCATAATTGGAGTTTTATCTTCCTGAAATTTAATCCTTGAATTTAAAAGACAAGAAACAGAAAATTGCAACCCAAAAAGACGTGGGTGGGTGGTCAATGCATTGGAGATGTGGTGTTTAAAGTTAAGTATATATGTCAAGTGGTGAATTGTTTTGGTGCTTAGACCTTCTTCAATTTACTGTGTCAAACTCTCCCTCTTGATGAAATGGCTAAGTTTCCATTTTCAATTGGATATATACTTGGGTCACTACCCAATATATTGACCTTGTTATTTGGTCCAATTATATTTTAACACATGTTTTATTGTTTATAAAACAAGAAACACATGACAATTTTTTATTGAACTGCATCATGCGGTCAGTATATTTGTACCCCATGTATTATCCTTTTTAATTAATAGAGGGTATGAAGTAACAATGTCAGCATTTTGATGTTAAATGAATTCCAAAACAAATTATAAAAGTTTTTAGGGTAATATGATGATTGTTCATCTACCACAAACTCTCTCCACAACCACCCTATTCCCCCACCACTCTCTTAAAAAACAAATCACGTTCACGTCTATATGTCGTCCAATGAAACTGCACTACTCGCTAGACTATTAACTGTAGAGGTCGTTAATTAGGAGAGATTTTTTATGTATTCAGAGCACAAGCAGATATATCAAGTGTCATAGTATAAATAGGAGGGATGATATATTTTTTAATGTCCTTCCACTTATATATTATAACACGTGATATACTGACTTATATTCTGAATACATTGAAAAGCTTATACAAAATATTTGAGACAGTGTTTCTTTTTCTTTTTAATTTTCCCATAGCTAAGAAAAAGATTCAAAAAGTTTATGCCATGACTATGTTCTTTTCTTGAGCGAGGGCCAAGAGGGATCCAGCTTAATATAATACGCGCTAAGTTGCTATTCCCTTTATCTATTCCAAAAGAGTAAGAAGTTTAATAATATAACTATATATCCAGATAAATAAATGGTAAAGTTGCTACAAAAGTCCAGTCAAAAAGTTGCTTATAAAGATAGAGAAGTTTAATAATATAACTATATATCCAGATAAATAAATGGTAAAGTTGCTACATAAGTCCAGTCAAAGAGTTGCTTATAAAGATAGGAGTGTGCTATCCACACATTCTATTTTACTTTTCACATATTTTTTGATAATTTTTATCTATTGATCTTTTTCAATTCATCTAATCTGACAGTCGAAAATTAAAAAAGTATATGAGAAATAAAGTAAGATATGCGGATATCACATCTCTAAAGATAAAAGAGAAAGGGACGTGGTGATCACTGATCACGGCCATGTGCTTGATTGCGGCGGATTATGATTTAATTAGCTTAAAAGGAGGGCTTGTTCCCGTCAACTCTGGACACGATTCTTCACTATCTACTCTACTTAATCACCGGAGGCGTCGTTCACCGATTACCACCACTGTATCTGTATGTGAAATATGTGACCATCTCACTCGTATATAACACTCAGATGATGTCCTCCACAATATTTTAAAAATGGATTCATAGGTGACCTTGTTTCCCTCCTTGCTTTAAATCTTAATCATATAGTAGCTAGATATTTCCAAACTGACATTTTTGCATCGCTATTGTTTTACTAGATATTTGGTAGTTTTTTTTAACAAATTCTAAATTATACCCTTGATTTTTATTTTTTTTAGAGGCTAATATGAGGTAGATGACGCCACTTAATATTGTAGTCTAATTATATTACTTTTCACTTGTAAGTGAAAGGTCTTAGGTTCCATTCTCACTAAAGGTCTATGGCCCCTCAGTTGGAGATGGTAAGAAATATGGCCATACACTGTTCATTAAAATATTAATTTCTTTTTTTTGATAAAATAAAATATTAATTTCTTAGAAGGCTGCATGACCAAAGAGAGCCCTCTGGTCCCCCTTCGATTGGAGATGGTCCAAGGGTTATTGACATCTTGGATCACATGGTGCACTTCTTTTTCACTAATTTAGAGGCATTTGACACATAACATTTAGGAACTCTATTGAGTATTAAAGTGACTAAGGTTATTGGTACAGGTGCAAGTTTGCCTAAACTGAAGAAATGAAGGGCACCGGTTGAGGAGGATCGACCTGAACTCTTATGAGTGGATCCATTACTAATGTTTTGATAATTGAGTATGCCTTGATATTGGTCTTAGATGAGAACTTGGGATTGCAATAATTAGACGACATTTAAATGATATTTGTTTATATCATGATTTATTTTCACTACATGGTTTGTTATACAAAGAGTACGGTTTATTCGCAGCTGTCGGATAATTGCGTGTGTTATGTTTTCGAATAGATGCTAGATTCACTGGACGCTAGTGTGATGGATGACTAGCAGATGCTAGCATTATACAGGCAGACTCCTATGTATACACGTTTTTTTTTTTTTTTTTTTTATCTCTTCAATTTTTATTAAACTTAATATTTTCTAATTGTTGAATGTGAACGTATAATAGAGATTTATAACCAAATTTATTGTACATGTGGTATAGTCTTATTAGGTGTTAGGTTCAACATATGTTTTAGGAGACAATCTATATAAGTTTCAGAGAGAAAGAAGAGTTTACATTTTAAATTGAAATGAATTTTAAGTTTCAGATAATAGAATAGTGATTTTTTGAGTTACAGAAAGTAAAATGAAATCAAAATAGAGTTTTAGAAGACGTAGTATAATACACGCCTTTCATATTTCATATCTAACAAGTAACAACTACCAATATCTCCACCAAACAGTCCAGTGAAATTCTATGAACACCACACACCCCGGCGCCACCTCTTGAATTCAAAGCCGCGTAAAATGGGGGTCCCGGAGCCTGTTGGTCCCAGCACATCAACCATTCTGTTCAAATCTTATGGAGCATTACGTTAATCAGAAACAAAAAAAGAAAATAGGTGTCTAATCCCTTCCATATTTATGAACCCTACAAAATCCAAAAGCAAAAACAAAAAAGAATAATAGTAACAATACCAAGCCTCTCACCCTCAGTTACAGAACTTTCATGGCTTTTTCTGTTATTTTATATTCCAACTTCCCAAAGATTGTGAGCATCCAAATCAAACCAAAATATTTATTAAATCAACTGGTTTCATGGGAGGGACCTAAATTTTTGAATTTTTCAAGTTTCCAACTTTCCAAGTCCAATTCTTTTTCTTCTTTGTGGGGTCCTCTTTATGTTTGAGCACCGCATATGACAGCCTAAATCAACAGCCTGGAAAGGGTGATTAATGGTTACAACCGCACTAAAAGGCAGAAGCTTGATGGGTTTTCATGGTGGGATTCACGTAGTCTGTGTCAACTGGGTTTTCTCTTGGCGCTGACCCAATTCACTCTGCTGCGGATTGTTCCCATTTTTCACTTCCATTGAGGTAAAAGCTCAAATCTGTGTATACTTTGTGTTGGAGAAGTTGGTGGTGCAAGTGGTACTTTCCTCTGCATACGAGCAATGTTATGTTTTTGCCTTGTTTGATAATGCTGGGATTGTACTACTTGGTTTTCAATTGGGTTTTTGTGTATTGAGTTGGATAGATCTGGGGTAGTTTAAATTTTGGATTTTGGGTTTTGATTCATTGGAGAATTGGGGTTTTGAGTTTTGAGTTTTGACATTTGGGATTGTAAGTACTTGTTTTTGGTGAACAGGGTTTTGTTGAGTTGATTGATTTGGTCTCATTTGCCGTTGAAGATCTGGTTTTTCAGATACGGTGAAGATGAAACTTGTAACTTGGGTAGCTTTGTTTCTTGCTGTTGTTGTGTTCATGAGTTATAGATCATCCGCTTCATTCACTCCTGTCGATAACTACTTAATTGCCTGCGGTTCTCCGAAAAATGTCACATTCCAAGGTCGAACCTTTGTTCCCGATACACAACAATCTTCCCTTGTACTAAAGACTGCAAATTCTTTAGTTGCCAGCCCCAATGCTAATGCCCCTTCTCCAATTTACCAATCTGCTCGAGTTTTCCAGGCAACAGCTTCTTACAAATTTAAAGTCCAGCAAGAAGGCCGGCATTGGGTCCGCCTTTACTTTTTCCCTCTTACAAGCCCTGGCCAAAACTTGGATTCTGCTCAAATGACTGTAGTTACTGAAAATTTTGTACTCTTGAACAACTTCACTTTCAAGAACTATAACGGTTCTTATCTGTTCAAGGAGTATGCAATTAATGTAACTTCGGATACTTTGACTCTTAACTTCATTCCTTCAAACAATTCAGTTGCTTTTGTTAATGCAATTGAAGTAGTTTCTATCCCGGATGCACTGCTTCCTGACCAGGCATATGCTGTGAATCCATCTGCTCCTTTTAGTGGACTTTCTGAGCTTGCCCTTCAAACAGTTTACCGGTTAAACATGGGGGGCCCTTTGCTCACATCTCAAAATGATACCCTTGGAAGAACTTGGGAGAATGACGTGAAGTACCTCCATGTGGACAGTTCTGCAGTGAATGTATCGGTGAACCTTGCAAGCATAAAATATCCGCCTACTGTCACACCTGAAATTGCCCCAAATTGGGTCTATGCCACAGCTGAAGCCATGGGAAATGCAAACGTGCCCAATGTGAACTTCAACATAACTTGGGTCTTTACAGTAGATCCAAATTTTATGTATCTTGTTCGGGTACACTTTTGTGATATTGTCAGCAAAGCTCTGAATAATCTCGTTTTCAATGTTTTCATAAATTCTGACAATGTGCTTGGTAGTCTTGACCTCTCTTCGATTACTGGTGACTTGGGTGTGCCATATTACAAAGACTTCATTTCCAACTCCACAGAAGATGCAGGTACTTTGACTGTCAGTGTTGGTCCAGATTCATCAGCTGATATTACCAATGCAATTCTGAATGGGTTGGAGATTATGAAGATCAGCAGTGAGTTGGGGAGCTTGGACGGGTCTCTATCCGTGGGGAATCTTCTTCCTAGTCCATCCTCAAAGAAGAATAATATAGGAATCATAGTTGGCTCTGTTGTGGGATGTGTTGCTGTTGTGGCAATTATTGGTTTCCTTTATTGCTGCTTGGCATCCCGCAAGTCGAAGACAACTAACCAAGCGACATGGCTGCCCTTGCCCTTGTATGGAAATTCTCAGACCATGACAAAAGTGTCTACAACTTCACAAAAGAGTGGAACAGCTAGCTGCATTTCATTAGCCTCCTCCAATCTTGGCAAAATCTTCATGTTCCAGGAAATCCTGGATGCAACCAATAAGTTCGATGAGAGCCTCCTTCTTGGGGTTGGTGGTTTTGGCAGGGTTTACAAGGGAACACTTGAAGATGGGACTAGAGTAGCTGTCAAAAGGGGAAACCCCAGATCTGAACAAGGTCTTGCTGAATTCCGAACTGAGATTGAAATGTTATCCAAGCTCCGCCACCGCCACCTTGTGTCTCTTATTGGCTACTGTGATGAAAGGTCAGAAATGATTCTTGTCTATGAATACATGGCCAATGGACCCCTCAGGAGCCATTTGTACGGAACAGACCTGCCAACGCTCTCATGGAAGCTACGCCTTGAAATTTGCATTGGGGCTGCAAGAGGGCTCCATTATCTCCACACTGGTGCAGCTCAAAGCATAATTCACCGAGATGTGAAGACAACAAACATTCTCTTGGATGAGAACTTTGTAGCCAAAGTTGCTGATTTTGGCCTCTCAAAAGCAGGTCCAGCTCTAGATCAGACCCATGTCAGTACAGCTGTTAAGGGTAGTTTCGGTTACCTTGATCCTGAATACTTCCGAAGGCAACAGCTCACGGAGAAATCTGATGTGTATTCGTTCGGGGTAGTTCTAATGGAAGTTCTGTGCACAAGACCAGCTTTAAATCCTGTTCTTCCAAGGGAGCAGGTCAACATAGCAGAGTGGGCGATGACATGGCAGAAGAAGGGCATGCTAGACCAAATCATGGACCCAAATCTGGCGGGGAAGGTAAATCCAGCTTCTCTGAAGAAGTTCGGGGAGACAGCTGAGAAGTGCCTTGCTGAGTATGGTGTTGACCGGCCATCAATGGGAGATGTCTTGTGGAATCTTGAATATGCTCTTCAGCTCGAGGAGACATCATCTGCACTCATGGAACCTGATGATAACAGCACAAACCACATACCTGGTATCCAATTAACCCAAGGAGAGCCATTTGATAACAGTGTGAGCATGATTGACGGGGGACACTCCGGCGCAGATGACACAGAAAATGCTGCTACAAGTGCTGTGTTTTCTCAGCTTGTTAATCCTCGCGGAAGATGAGGTGACAGAACCTTTGCCTATCTGAATCTTGTTCCCTAATGTCCCCTTAAAAGATATCGGTCATCCTGGCCGCAGTGAGGGAAAAAGTTCTTTCGTAGTTCATTATTCTAGTTTACTACCTCAATTTTTCTATCACAATTTATTTGTAATATAGTTATGGTGGGTGCCAATCAGAATCCCTCAGAAATTACAGGGGAGGTGCCAAAGGATTTTGTTGTTGTCTTGATATATAAATGCATCTGGGTTTCAGAGCTTCCCATTCTAAAGTATATTTGATGTCATTGTATTCACATATATTCTCATTGTTCATAAGAAATAGAAAATAAGAAGAGTTTGTGACATCTGTAGCCTATTTCTCACTCGTAAGTTACAACCCTCGTAAATATTTCCTTTCCTTCGATTAGTCTTTCTGATATTCTGTTACTTATTTCCAGTGTTATCGGAATCTTGTTCCTGGAGAAAACACTGAACCCATCCTGAAAGATTATCTATGAAATGGCCACAAAACGATATGGAATACTCACAAAAAAATAGGGAAATCTGGTTGAATTCTTCTAGTTATGTAAAGGACAAGAATTTCTTTGTCGGGTTTGCTGAGCAGATCTAAAATGGGGAGGAAAACAATTCAAACAATTTTGTTTTAGGTCTTGAGAGGCAGGACTTTGTTTATATAGTGGTATAGAAAACGAGATTTTATGTTTGGAAACAAATGTTAAATGCCACTGGCTATATCAGCTTATAGTTGAGTTGTGCCTGAGTTCATTCCTTGACATTTTTGAACGTCTCTTTGCTCGAGACCTCTAGCTAGTTGTGCACCAATTGTCCACGAGTAGAATACCTTCTAAACCGTTCAGGTACATTTTCGGATTTTCCTTTAAGATTTGAGTTCTTGGAATAGAGAACTAGAGATCTGCAAGAGCAGCCTTGGGTAGCAAGTTAGTGATACCTCCTTAGGAACTATGAACGCTATTCATCTGCATTGCTGCATCTTAATTAGCATACATGATATGAGATTGTGAGTGAGTTTCACTTTTTGAAGGAAGTTCGTTGTGATAAGCATGAAACTAAAGTTTATTCGACAAACTGCACACTTTCATTATTACGCGAGTACAAAATTAAATTAAACGGCTACATTTAGCCAAATTGTTTGAAGAAAGAAATTCTGGAAATTCACAGTTCACACTAACCAAAAAGGAAATTAACACTTAGAGGTGGATTATGTTCCAAAACTCTTGACCACACAACCTTAAATTATCATCTGAGAAGTTTAAAACATTCACTTATTCCATGAGCTTGTGATAATATCAATTATTTCCTGCAAACTATTCCATTGCCACCGAAGGAATTACCAGTGCAGTCAAGCATTCCGTAATCCATCACCCTTGAATTTGTCTCATCCAGCTTACCGGGCTGAGTGAACACACAAGCAGCGCAATCTGCAGAGAAGAGTGATGTTGTTCTATACTTGTCTTCACCTCCCACCACTGGCATAGCTACTCCTGGCTTTGCAGGGTTCTTGAAATCTGGCTGGTAAGTCCTTCCGAGCACTCCTTCAACGTTTGAGGATAAGTCGTAGAATCTGAACTGTACTTCCAGGTGAGCAAAACAGTCATCTGGCGGTATATGATAATTGTGGATCCTATCATCTTCCTTTGTCACAGGAACCACATTTACTGAAATTTCAGCAACTTCTGGGAGAGTGACCCATACACTGTTCTTGCTCGATGTTCTCTTCACTATAATGTCATATTCCGGAGACTCCCACACGGAGAGATGGTATTCTGGGATGACTAGCTCCTCTCCATTGTAAGTGAATTTCAAGTGGTCGATTTCATCATCCCATACTGATGCTTTGCTGGCCTCTAGGGAGAAGCTGTTAGAGTCAAAGAGGAGTCCAAGGGCCTGAATCCAAGTGTTGTCCCTGGTTCGGCCTTCAGGTCGCACACCAATGAAGTGGGAGTTGATTTGGAGGTTGGGATCAGAAACTAAGTTGAAGTACTCATTTTTCTTGCCATGGAAGTAAAAGACAATGCCGTCTCCACCAATGAAGCGAGGGTCCAGGCATGCTGATCCGGGGCCTTTGCAGTTGGGCCTGGGACCTACGATTACCATCAACAATAAAAGAACATTGTCAGCAATGATTTTAAGTTACCTAGGTGCGTTCGAAATAAAAGAAAACAAAGTGAAAACATTGTAAACACATAACTATAGTAGCCTTACTTTTGCACTCAGCTTTGCATATAGGAGAGTCACAGTTGAGATAGCACATTTTAGCCATTTTGTCTGTCGGTGAAGTGGATGGACATTCCTTTGGGCAATGTACTTGCTTCCCAAAGCACGGGCTTTTCTTGCCGGAGCAAACTTTAACATCTGGAGGATGGTTAGCATTTGGAGGATTTGGAGGTTGCTTAGCGTTTGGAGGATTTGGAGGTTGCTTAGCATTTGGAGGATTTGGAGGTTGGTTAGCGTTTGGAGGATTTGGAGGTTGGTTAGCGTTTGGAGGATTTGGAGGTTGCTTAGCGTTTGGAGGATTTGGATGTTGCTTAGCATTTGGAGGATTTGGATGTTGCTTAGTGTTTGGAGGATTCAAATGTTGATTACCATGTGGAGGATTCAGAGGTTGATTACCGTCTAAAGGATTCAGAGGTTGCTTACCATTTGGAGGATTCAGAGGTTGCTTACTATTTGGAGGATTCAGAGGTTGATTTGCGTCTGACGGTTTCAAAGGTTGGTTACCGTTTGGAGGTTGCATACTCTGCACCAGAACAGCAGCAGATACAAGGACTACCAGAAGGATCAAAACCCCTTTGCTACCTAAGAAAACCATGGCTTCTTTTCTTTCCCCTTCAATGCCTCAGCAATGAAAGGTTGATGCATATATAGCCCAAGAATTTCTTTGTTTATAAGTACAGATGCTATCAAGTGGGAGTTTTGGTATATTATCCTGTTCAAGTATACATTAATTCGTTCTAAGTTTGGTGATTTAAACGTGATTCTCTTCAAATGCTTTGGATAAGTGCGGTTATATGATTGTGATTAAAGACATAGCTAATGACAATATGAGTTTTTGATTCTTTTTTCTTCTTCCTTTTGTTTTCCGAACTTTTTTGAAGCTGATACAAGCATTGCTGGTGAAGTTTGGCTCAATGCAAGCCAAAAGGAATATTGCGCATGATCCAACATTCAAATTGCACACCAATAATTCACAGTTTCAATGATTCATTAAGACGTTTTATGATAAAACCTCACATATCAGGTTTATGGTTAATTTGAGAACAATGTCGGTGCGTATAAGGCCCTGAGTTTTAAGAAATCATATGCAAAGATATAAAAGTGAACCTTACAACATATAAATACGAAGAAACAAGACAGTTTTGTCAATCACTAGAAGACATGGTCATAAACATGAAAACGTAAAAATCAAACTTTATCAGTTAACAAATTTGAGGTTTATGATCTTTACATGTTAAAGGTGTTTAACATAACATTCAAAAACTTTGATGCTTTGCAAAGTAAATAATGAAAGGAAAAAAGCATACAATAATACGGCTGTGGTTCCAAAATAAGGGCCTAAATTGGTCAAATTAAAACAACCAAACCATTCAAACCTTATTATACTAAATTATCTTCCATTAGTGCCTAATATTCGACTGACAACAAAATAAGTTTTGAGAGGAAAAAAAACAATTATCAAGTTGCTGTTTTGTGCTAATATGCTTAGTCATATCATATATACATGCACCAAACGAATTTTCAGGGTTCTGTATGGTAGCACCACTTGCATATCTTCAAGACCGATCTTGGGTGCATGGTTTAAACTTAGTATTGAATACTTGTTGAATCCATGACACAATAAGTTTTCTAGTGATTGATTGATCTAAGCTACAAATTAAAGAACAATGCTTGGCTCCTCAAGATTAATGAGGAGTTCCTCTTCAATTCACTTAGTGGCCGATTCATAGAATTTCGTGTTTATAATCTAAATCGTTCATATTATAAATCATTATGTAAAGACATCTCAACAAAAACATCAATTAAAACCAATATTGTTTAGTCAATTAATTACAACAAATAGATAGACTATTTTTAATGAATAATTCCTGAAATAAATAGGTTGTGTGGTGTGGAGGACTAGAAAGTTCTTATGACAATAACATGGTTTGGTTCACTCATGTGAAGTAATCCACCTATTTTGCACCCGATAAAATGGCTGTGCAAACTGCATTCTCTGCGTACAACCATCAATGGAGATGGAGTCGTATATTCTTCAAACTTGCCTCATTGGCCAGTTGCTTTCTAGAATATAATTTGTTCACGAAATCAAGCAAAACACATGCATTCAAATCTAGCCAATGTATTAAAAGGCGGAGGCGTAGGCCAGGTGTTTCATGGATAGCCCCACCTAGGCATGAGGCGTGAGGTGAAGTCTCACGGGACCTAAATAATTTAATATATATTGTATATATAATTATATATTAAGATTAGAATACTAAAAAACTTGAATTTTGAAACAAATTATGGTGGCTTGGAGAATTTTGAAACAAATTGAGGTATGAGATTGGAGTAAAATTGAAATATAGGATTGGGATTGAGAATTTAGGGTTTGAGGAATTGGGAATCGTGGAATTGGGATGGGGTGAAATATAGCAAAGAGAATCGGGTGTTGGTTGGTGAAATATACAAAGAAAATGGGATATTGGGTAACAGAGAATTGGCAGAGAACAAGGACTGCAGTGATTATAAAAAATAATAAAAAATTAGACTTGACCAAAACGACGTCGTTTTGAGCCAAGTCTTTATAAAAAAAAAAAAAACCTTTCTTCTTCCTCGCGTGGTCGTCTTCCTCAGGTGCGCCCCGACGAAGCCTAGGCAAGTTTCCGCCCAATCCAAGAAAACAGAGACGAAATTGCTGAAGCCCGCCTTCAAGGCCGCCTAGGCGCACCTCAGTCTTTTAAAATACTGAATCTAGCATACTTTTTTGTACTTTAAAAGTCAAAAGCCTGAGGTATTAGACCAGAAACCGATATGTCTAAACATTCATAAGGTGCTCACCATTTTTTGATATATGTTGAATCTAAAGGATTTACTGTTGGATATATATTTTTGGCAGCTAATCCTCTTGATGGTATGGTAGTAGCATCTAACTGTAAAAATGTTGTGGCCAGAGTAGGATTGGTCAAATTGTCAGCAGGTACATATATAAACTGTTTGAATAGAAGTTATAGACCCCTCTTTGATAGAAGTAATTCATTCTTGTAGAGTACCCATT